ATGTGTTTCAAAGTGTGTGGCAAAGATGTGTATTCCAGTGCACAGTCTTGTGTATTAGATCATAACACAATATGCAGGCGAGGAGTCACAATAACGTGGCTGAAATATGTTGACCAGACCACACACTAGAAAGTGAAGGGACGACGACGTTTCGGTTCGTCCTGGACCATTCTCAAGTCGAAACGTCGTCGTCTCTTCACTCTCTGGTGTGTGGTTTGGTCAACACAATACTCTACTTCGGTAATACAGAGGAAAGTCAGGATAACGTTATGTATCGGTGAGAAAAGCCTTGGAGCAAGAAGGGGATCGAACCAGCGACCTGGATCGCTTGTAAGACTGAGCCTGTGTATGCTGTAAGCCCCGGCGAGGCTCCAGCTAGGTGGGGAGGGGGTGGTGTTGTGTTGGGCATGTTGATGTTATCAGTGTGGGGGGTATGGACAGGTTGGTATAACCGGGTCACTGGTCCTAGTACCCTACCCAGGACACCTGGGGCACGGGTCTGTGTAAGATGTACCGCCGGCTCTCCTCCTCCTCCGCTCCGGTTATAAAATGCATGATCTAGGCCAGTTAAATAGGTGCGATTGGGAGTGAGATCATCTGAGCCAGTTATATGGCTACTCCTTTGCACGGTGTAATGTGTGTAATTTGTCCGGGAGATTATCTGTTCCGGTTATTGGAGCATACTTTTGGTAGCCCGCGAGGGCTATGATTTGCTGCCGGGATGATTTGCTTGGGCTGAAGTTAGCATGTAGTTAAGGAAGTGCTAACTGCTCTGGGGAAATTTACTAGTCCCTGCACCTGCCCAGCCTGGCTGTCAGATCATACTAACTGAAGGCTTAATACAAATAATTTTGTAAAGGTATCAACTTGTTTGCTGATTCATATGATAGTACGAAACTAAATTATTAGCTGAAACGCTGCTCAGATATTCGTATTTTAGACTTAGTGTCCATCCTTAAGAAACGTTTTGTTTGCATAATAATTACCAAAATTCTCCTGTAATGAAGCACTGTATTTTCACGCCGTTTACCCACACTCTTGTTATTTATGAATATATTAATAACCTTAAATTCGTAAACTATACATTTCAGTGTAAGATATTTCAGAGTGGCGTGAGCATCTGCCAGCACATGCTGCAAGACCTTCTGCTTCCAATTCATTCAATTTCTTATTATTATGTACCCCATACCCATCCTGTGGGCGGTGGTGTAAAGGATTACAGAGGCACATAATCGGTTCAGGAACTGTACCCTCTAGTTCGTTTAGCTAAGCTTCCGTGGCGGTTGGGGGGGGGGGGGGGGGGGTAGAAATAGCCTAAGCTACTCTATCCCTTTGAGATGTATTTCTTTCCTGTCTCAATAAACATACGTGAATTCTGTGGCGGCCTTTGTATCTCTGTAGTCACTCCCTGTAACCTGATTATCATTAACTGTACTGTCATCGCTCTGTGTCCCCTTAACCCCAGAGCCCCAACCCACACGTCACTAGAAGAGAGAGAGAGAGAGGAGAGACATGATAGATAAATATAAAATACTTAGGGGGATTGACAGAGTGGAAAAAAGGAGGTGATGCTCACAATGAATACATATAGAACAAGAGGGCATGAATGGAAGCTTAGTAAACATATGAGTCACAGAGATGTTAGAAAGTTTTCACTTAATGTAAGAGAAGAGACTAGTGGAATGAAATAAATGATTATAGAAAGGAATTCCGTTCACAATTTCCAAAGTATTTATAGTCGAATTAATAATAACTTAGCATTCTTTGGATTAGATAACTGATGACTAGAGCTCGATTCTGCAGGCACAAATTGGCGAGTACGTACACACACACACACACACACACACACACACACACACACACACACACACACACACACACACACACACACACACACACACACACACACACACACACACACACATATATATATTAGGGGCCTGGTAGCCTGGTGGATAGCGCGCAGGACTCGTAATTCTGTGGCGCGGGTTCGATTCCCGCATCAGGCAGAAACAAATGGGCAAAGTTTCTTTCACCTTGAATGCCCCTGTTACCTAGCAGTAAATAGGTACCTGGGAGTTAGTCAGCTGTCACGGGCTGCTTCCTGGTGTGTGTGTGTGTGTGTGTGCGTGGTGTTGGAAAAAAAAAAAGTAGTTAGTAAACAGTTGATTGACAGTTGAGAGGCGGGGCGAAAGAGCAAAGCTCAACCCCCACAAACACAACTAGGTGAATACACACACAATGGGCTGGCATGAGGGTAATGTTGCGCGTTGTTTGAGGCCATTGTTGGGAGTGATAGCAAGGCGAACACATTGATCACGTTGGTCAATCAGTAGCTAAAAGTGAATGATTTATGCCGGACTCTATCACGCTGTGGGCGGCCAGTCGTGTATCATGCCCAGTGGCTCAAAGGCGGAGGGAGGGAGGGAGGGAAGGGAGAGGAAAGCAGAGGAACGGAAGAGGATGGGAGGGAAAGAACAATGAAGGATTGGGGATAGTAGTCTTTTCGTGTTTTGTTTTCCCTTGTTTGTTGTGCAAATTTGATCACTGATTCCTTTCTTTGTTTACTTTGGTTAGTTATCTCTCTCTCTCTCTCTCTCTCTCTCTCTCTCTCTCTCTCTCTCTCTCTCTCTCTCTCTCTCTCTCTCTCTCTCTCTCTCTCTGTGTGTGTGTGTTTTGCTTTGTCTTGTCTTATGTTCCTTCCTTTGCCTTCGTTGATATTCCTCCTCACTCCATCCCCTTGCCCGAGCCTTCCATCCCACCAAGTCATCTGTCTCCATCGTAATAGGGGAATATGGCTAAGAAACAACTGGCATTGTTAGATAAATACGAAGATCATTGTGTGGGTTGAAGAAGCATTGGATGTAACTCGATAATTGTCGAGTAAGATTGGTAGCATATGTATATATGTATGGATGTATATATATGTATGTTTGGATATGTATGTGCTCAATTATATGTACTTGCGTTAGCTCCTTTAGCCGCTCTATTTCAGTCACTGGTAAATTAATGCAATTGATCTTTCCTCTTTTATATTGCATTTTTTAATATTTGTCCCTTCCGTTTCTTCTAACCCATTCAATTTCCTTGCAACTTTTACTCTGAAACTGATCATTGTGGCTCTTTAGCACGAAATCATCTTAAGATAACCTCAAGCGATTAGTCTAGTTTGGTGGCCACTAGTAATTTTGTTTCATAATTAGTTATCAGCTCTGTCAGGGTACCTTAATATTTTGTACATCCTTAACATGGCACTCTTCCCTATATTTTCATTCGTTCAATGAGGGAAGGGACCACGCAAGGAAGGGAAGTATCAGGAGAAAGCTCCAAGCCATTGTGACACTATTTGTTTAATGAGAAAAGGTTAAGATTGAGTTGCTTCAGTTGCTCACAAGCGGACTATAGCATGCACGACCCTGGACTATAGCATACACGACCCTGGACTATAGCATGCACGACCCTGGACTATAACATGCACGACCCTGGACTATCATGCACGACCCTGGACTATATCACGCACGACCCTGGACTATAGCATGCACGACCATGGACGTCCTATAGCATGCACGACCCTGGACTATAGCATGCACGACCCTGGACTCTATCATGCACGACCCTGGACTATAGCATGCACGACCCTGGACTATAGCATGCACGACCCTGGACTATATCATGCACGACCCTGGACTATAGCATGCACGACCCTGGACTATAGCATGCACGACCCTCACACCCCAAGAACTCTTGTAACTGACCCGCTGGGTAGTGCCACACTTCCCTTAATGTAATCATGCAGTTCAACTAAACAGATTACGACATCATTGAGCTGCTCCGGTAGCGAACACGTCGAACAACGGATTAGATGCTCCCCCTACCCCCCCCCCTACCCCCCTCATATGGAATTGTACACAACCTATTGCCTCTTCTGTCGATCGATTACATTAACAGGGCTGAACGGGAGACATCTGTTGGACATGAACGATCGAATTACCTTTCGGGTTACCCTAATCGTCAGGTCGGGGGTGTTTGCCGGGTTAAAACCTAAGGTAAATATAGTGGGTTGTGGGTAAGTAGGGAGAGGTTTGCCCTCGTCCTGATGCTTCTGTGTGGCTTGTCTGGTCCCCGCCCACGACGGAGCGGACACAGAACTCTCTTTACAACAATTTGTGGAGATTTTACTAAAGCGTTTGATTCAGTGTCCTTGTGAGTCTTTCCTGTAGTGTGTGTGTTGACGCAATTCGTCCTCATAAACAAAGGGTAAAGTCCATTCCATCCACCTGCCAAACCCCCTGTTTGTGAATGAACAACGGTTTACACACGACTCACAACTGATGACGTTCGAACACTTCCGGAACAAGTGCTTCGCTGACGACTTCTGCTCGAACCACAACGCTATAAATGCTTCACCCACGCACTACAAATACAAATAATCGCCAACAGAACCTAAACACCTAACCTAACCAATGCCTAAATCTGCACAATATACTAACATATAATCAAATTTATCATTTGAGAAAATTGCTATTTTTGAATGAACAGCATGTTAAAATTGATGAATGCGTCTTTGGGGTCGACCGCTGGATGGAATGGACCAAGGACGGGTTGTTGACCAACGCTGACGTTACGTCAGCGCTGCTGACCGAACCAAATGATTATCTGAAGATGAGGACTGATGATTATAATATACAAGTAATAAGGATGGTGCTTGCAGGTTACTTCCACAACTCTGCTCATTCCATTCATCACACAACTCATCATACTCATAATTCATCACACTCACAACTTAGCCTTCACCTCATGCACCTCATCTCTCTCACCAGTCAGCGTCTCTTAACTTTTCATTCATTCATCAGTTCTCACTCCTCATTCTTCTCATTACTCATTTTGTAACCCTCACCCCTCCTGCCCCTTCACCATGCCCCCTTCTCCTTATACAACTCTGCACCCACCACTCAACCCTCTCATCTCACACTCATTTCAATACTCATTTCCCCTCACAGCCCTCTCACTTATCCCAGCGCATCCCTCTCACCCGTCCCCCGCAGCCGGCCCTCTCACCCCTCTCCCGCAGCCGGCCCTCTCACCCGTCTCCTGCAGCCGGCCCTCTCACCCGTCTCCTGCAGCCGGTCCTCTCATCCGTCTCCTGCAGCCGGCCCTCTCACCCGTCCCCTGCAGTCGGCCCTCTCACCCGTCTCCTGCAGCCGGCCCTCTCACCCGTCTCCTGCAGCCGGCCCTCTCACCCGTCTCCTGCAGCCGGCCCTCTCACCCGTCTCCTGCAGCCGGCCCTCTCACCCGTCTCCTGCAGCCGGCCCTCTCACCCGTCTCCTGCAGTCGGCCCTCTCACCCGTCTCCCGCAGCCGGCCCTCTCACCCGTCTCCCACAGCCGGCCCTCTCACCCGTCTCCTGCAGCCGGCCCTCTCACCCGTCTCCCGCAGCCGGCCCTCTCACCCGTCTCCTGCAGCCGGCCCTCTCACCCGTCCACCGCAGCCTCTGCCCTCTCACCCGTCTCCCGCAGCCGGCCCTCTCACCCGTCTCCCGCAGCCGGCCCTCTCACCCGTCTCCCGCAGCCGGCCCTCTCACCCGTCTCCTGCAGCCGGCCCTCTCACCCGTCTCCCGCAGCCGGCCCTCTCACCCGTCTCCTGCAGCCGGCCCTCCAGTAGCCCTAATGTTTGCCCTCCATCCATTACCTCTGTTGACATAAGTATTACGTCAACCTTGAAAACCGCCGCGTCCACTCCTGTGCCTGTAGTGGCAACGGGCCCGGCTAATCTGCCGGCCCCGCCACGGATTGTGTTACACTGACGAGCGGGGAGGGTAGGTGTTGGGGCAGGGGGGAGGGCAGGTGTTGGGGCAGGGGGGAGGGCAGGTGTTGGGGCAGGGGGGGAGGGCAGGTGTTGGGGGGAGGGCGATGACGTGGTGGTAGGAGGGTTGGTTTAGTCAGGGTGGTTGTGAAGCGGGATTTTGGTGGTGGTTAAGTGGATGTTGAAGGTGGGGATGTTATGTGTGGGTGGTGTATGTGAGCGGTTGTGGTGGTGATTGTGGGTGTTGGTGAGACTTGCAGTGTTGGTGAGGGCTGGGGTAGAAGGGCTGGTGACGCGTGAAGTCTGTGGTGATTGTGGTAGAGGGTAGTGGAGGGAATAATGGCGATAGTTGTTATTGTGTTGATGGTGAGTTAACGTTAATCGGTGGCAGTGAGTGAGTGTTGTTGTGGTGGTGTCGGTTGTGTGTTCGTGAGCTAGTGATGGCATTAGTGTGAAGTGAGAAGCCAT